GCGCGGCACAGGCCTTTCCAAGCAGGCCACTAAGCATCGAAAGGGGAAAACTACTGATCGGCCACACGTCGTCGACCTGGCCTTCTCGCCTACATCTAAACAACGGAAGCACCGTGGGATTCCGTATCGCGGAACTCTTCGTCCGGCGTCGCCATCTCTGGACTTCGGGTTCTCGCGTGACACTATCTTGCGTTCAGCCTCGCGCTCGGCACTCGCGCCAACCGCTGCTCGTGCCAAAAAGCAGCGAGTGTCGAAACGAGTCGCCATGAAAACCCGCGGAGACAGTGATCGTGTAGCAGTCGACACGATTGGGAAAGCTCCTATCGTACGGAGCGCGGGCAGGGACGCTACTTTGGGGAAGCGCGGAACAAGGTCTGCTGAGGAGAAGCAACCAGTACGGGGCGGCGGAGGTGTAGCGAATGGTAAGACGCAGGAAGTGACAAGGGAGCAGTGGATGTGGTTCAAGAACTGGAGAGGGGAGAGATGGATGGTTGAGAAGGGCGCTGGAGTCGTGGTCATTCGTTAGAGCCAATGAGCGGATGGTTGACAGGAGACTGAGACTTTGTGAGACATGGGAGGGAAGTGTTAGAGGGCGTGGGCGTGGTTTGTAGGCTAGACGCAAGAGCGTAGTGTGGAAAACCATGATGCCTCCTACCTGCAGAAGGAATACACTCGCCTTCCAGCTCTCCCTTCCGCCGCATTCGCTGTGGCAGCGCATCATTGCACATCTCAGCTGTACGTATGTGCAGACCCAGTATCTCGTGAACCACCTCTGCCTTTGCGTCATGACATCGTCAGCATCAAACCACCTACCTGTCGTCGAGCTCAGCTACCAAAGCTTCCGGTTGTCATAGCTTGCTCGAAGTGTGTTTTATCTTCATCCGAAGCGTAGAATGAGTGGAGCGAAGTCAAATCACAGCGCCAAGTGAGCGAGACGAGGTCTTGCACTTCGCGGCCTTGACTTGCTCGGTACTCACTGCCAAGTAACCGCGCTGACAGGTTACCGCAGGTCTATGGCTGTCGATAGTACAACGCGCAACGCAGGGACAAAGTTTGGCGCGCGCTACGCGGACGCTTAGGCTCGTTCCGGTAGCTCCTGTGAACCATTCATAAGTGTGGAAACAGCCTGGTTGGATTGATCGTGACACGCAGCAGCACGAGCGGTGCGCGAATCCGAGGCCTAGCTCGCCGGGTCTCATCACTCTTCGACCGGGCTTCTAGCGTCTAGTCCTTTGATGACGACGAATATGACTTGTGGAGTATCTGCATGAGGGAGATAGTAATGCGCAGATCTGCAAATCTGCGCAGCAAATTGATGAGAGGAGCGGAAACCATGCTATCGGCGCACGAGCATGACGACGGCCTCAAGGTCACACCGTCTCATTGGTGATGACACTGAGCACGCAGTACCCTCTTATGGCATGATCCGGCAAACATCAGTCAGAGCATGCTGCTCTTCTCAAATCGCTGTACGTCACCGCTGACATTACCCTTCTTCCTTGCCAGTGTCATCCCTGTGGCGATCCGGATGCTGCGATGCGAGCGTAGTTCTGCGCTTGCTCTAAAGATCGACTTCTGTGATCATGGAGCTTTACGTGCTTCTGGCGTGCTTGTGGCCCAGATCTGGTCACATATTTCATGACGAGCCTCGGTGCTGCCGAAACGATCGGCACAGTACGACCTAGTTTATCCGCGCCGATCGTAAGCGGATGATGCACGTCGACTGTATGCGGCTGGCGCGGATTGATTGAACTCAACGCCGAATATGGAAGTCCAAAAAGCTCAGCATGAAATCCGAATCATGCGGCGCATGTGGACATCCATTGGCTATCACATCAGCGGAGGCCAGCTCGGCGCATGAAGATAGAAGGATCCCGTCGCTCTTGGGCACAGCTGTTAACCGTCCCGTAGGCCATAGGGTTCCAGTGGACCAATGCCAACCGGAGAGGTGGGCATACGAGGCCTGCAGGGGTCATGATGGCCTTGTTCCCACCTGCACCGAATGAAGATCTCCATGCAGATTGCGATAAGGTCGTCATAGTGGTGTGATCTCAGTAGCTCACGTCCGGATGCGACGCCCGAGAGGAATTCTAGGCGGAGAAACCATCACCTGAACACACTTCTTGGGTTTGAGGAAGGAGGTATTCCAGGATGTTGCAGTGGGATCTCATTCCACTGTCAGACTGGCGATAGTGAAGAAGCCGCCCAGTCGGAAACTTCACTGATTGAGTGCAGTCTAAAAGGGTTCAATCAGCCTCTACAGCTCAATCCGCACTTCGTACCCTAGATCTCACAGCAAGATCAAACTTAGGGCACATGGACTGTTCGACCCGTTATGGTGTAGATTAGGACGCGTAAGATTGCCATGATGGTCGTGGTGGAACAACTGCTGTTGTCGAGCTGTGCATGATGCGAGGCGCTAGGAATGACTTGACTCGCAGCCTTTTCTGTAAGCGGCGACCAAGGCGCGGCCCGCCTGCTCCCCTCTCTGTCGTGTTTGGAGTTGACATCTCAGCAAAGTGATGTCACGATACCAACGGCAGTTGAACTCTGACCTCGCAGCTGCCTCACTGAACTGCAAGGGCAAATGTCGGAACAGACAGCGGCAGCCCCATATATATGTACATGTGCTCAATAGTACATGAATGATAAGAGTGTCCTAGCGAGCTGCCCCGCTGTTGTCGCAGCATCGCCTGGAAATCAATACGCCGAGGGGCAGTTTGGCGCAGGGCCTGGGTCTAGACTTTCTAGCTCGCCGGAGTTGTCTCCATCTCATGTGCGCGCCAATCCAGCCCTGCAGATACATTTGCAAACCTGGACGCCACAGTCCTGCGGGATCCTTGTCGCTGACGTCATCGACCATTCAGACCCTTGCGGGCCACGCGAAAGTGACATTATGGCGCATGGCTAATCTACGGATGGCGTTCTCGGAGCATATGTACTCGACTTCGGCAGCCACTGTGAGAATATCTTGGGCACGCCAGTACAACGATCTCTACAGCAGGACATCTTCCATCTGGATGCCTAGATAGGTGTTTGCGTTCCACAACGGGGGTGAGCCTGACAGCCTTCCACACCCCATCATACATCTGGGAAGGTCTCCTCGCTCGGGAGGCATCCCTAAAGATGGCACATCGGCGAAGTCCTCCATTTGTGCCCGTCTCAGCCGCTGGTTCCTCACAGCAAAGCCCTACTGTGCCTTCTCTACAAACAAAAAACACTGACCCATCCTCAACGGACGACAACGGGCGGGTTGCACTGCTCAGAAGGCAGTCCTCTTCTGGAACCAGCGATGCCGATTCAGAGATTGCTTCGAGGATGCGCAAGAAGGCCGAGCCTGTCAAAAGTGCCTGCGCCCAATGCCAAAAGAGGAAGACGAAATGCTCCGGAGATCGCCCGATATGTCGCTTCTGCCATGATCGAGGGCTGGAATGCTCGTGGGATATCGGCGACGGCATGACGAGGACGGCAGACTTGAAGCAAAAGTTGCAAGTCGCGACAGGCCGAGGCGAGAAGCTCAAGAGGTTACTGTCTGATGAGGCCACTCGAGGCGCGGCAGTCAGACAGAAGCTGGAGGCTGCGGAGGAGCGCCAGGAAGATCTGAGCAGGCTGATGGAAGCCATGCGGTCGAGTACTGATCAGGTTTCGACGATGCTACTCGCGAGACTACGGCTAGGCGAGCCGATTGAGGACCTAATTGAATCAGTACGCGGACCAGGTGATGCTTCCCACGGCGAGATTGCGTCTAATCGACCAGGTCTGCGATCGAGTACCCATTCGTCTAGCTCTGGGTCCCCTGGGTTCGCATCTTCTGGCTCTGGCACTTCAAGTCGGTACGTTCATGTCAATTCACTGCGAGACGCTTAAACCAGACACTCACATATCGCCAGATCAAGTGCCAGCTCGAATGTCCCGACACTCGCGCGAACCTCAGCACCTGCCACGCCTCCCATGATGGAGTCGCCCAAACACAGGACAGGGTCCGGGCAGTCCGACACAAGCGCGTACAGCGCGCCACGAGCAGCTATGTCAAGACCATCATTGATGTCCATCGACACACGGTCGCGGCCATCGTACGGAGGCGCAGAGACGTGGACGCCCAGCATCAAGCAGGAGGATCTGTATATGTCACCTACCTCACCTACCGGAGATGGCCGCGACCAGGACGTGGGCATGAGCGGCATGCATGAAGACTGGCACGCGAGTGCTGACTACACTGGCTCTCAGCGTCCTGCACAAGCGCAACAGCAGCCACAGACGCCGCCATCGCCACCCGCTGGGTTCGAGCGATGACAACAATGGATGGTTACATTTCCCGCGTCCCAATCATTTGACCATCCGCTTCATCACCTCGACCAACAGCGCCATCACGGAGCGACACTTTGTGGGTAGATTAGCTGACGCGGCACCCATGGTATGCCACTACCGCGAACCTGTGGAGCTGGACTCCCTTCGGGCATGTCTACACATCCTGATTCTGCGCTCACGAGTTCTCCAACTGACAAACGCGGTTTACGAACGCCACCAAATATATCACATTTATACGATAGTCGCGAGACCATTGACCGAACCATCACAGGCTCTACCCAAACGCCAGGACATGGTGTCCTACATACACCTCGGAGTCTTCCCGCTGGTTTTTGTCCTCGGCGTTCTTCAGCGTTCTAGCATTCGTGTACATAGCGCACACATCGGTTAAGAAATGACTGTCATGATCAAGCAAGTGTCGGCACTCTCAGCTCTTGTCATTCGCTCACTTCGTTCCTCATGAACAGCACTTCAGTTCTGAATCTCCCTGATGCTGATCCAATAGACACATTGCAAGATTTGGTACAAATTTCAGTCGATGACCATATGAATCATTGGGTCACTTCATATGTAGTGGGAGGTCGGTTGTTTGGCCAGTGGCCCGGCTAAAGATCACGGATGGAAGGACCCATCTTCGATCGCTCTTTCCTGGTTTTTACGATTGATAATTATAGAACCGATATCGTCAACAAGTCTGGTTAGCTCAGTTGGTTAGAGCGTGGTGCTAATAACGCCAAGGTCGCGAGTTCGACCCTCGTGTAAGCTTCTCTGCAAGACTTCACGAGTGTTCCGCCCAAATACTGACTGGTTTCCAGACTGGACAACTTGTCTCACATTTTCTTTTTCCCGTTTTTTCACACTATCCAGGACTTTAGTCAGGAACGGCTTCGTCTGGTCGACAAGCACCTAGATTACGATTACGGTCTCGCGGGAGTGCACACGGCGCCCCTCCCCTTCCCCAGCGCGAAGCAGGTTGCTGACCATCGTGTGTGGATCAGAATGGTGGTATCGGGTAGGTACACTGTCAGCAGCTCGCGACTATTTGAATGTTCGAAAAATAGATGAAGTGGCTGTCGCGGTCTTGATAGAGTATTTGGTAAGCCCCTTTGACCTTGCTAATGTGTGTCTTACACTACTATGATACCCAGCAACCTCTGACCTCTGCTCGTACGCTGTTCTCGCGTCTGCAATCAGCGATGCGATAGCTTTTGCATTCGGCTTCCATCACTAAGAAGCCTCTGGAGCGGTCTCTCGCTGCTCGCGTTCATAGCAGGTCATGCCAATGTCTCCCATGCACCGTAGTATGCGTAAGGTTGTAAGCCTCTCAGCAAGACTCGGCTTGAAGTCTCAATGGTCCTCGGGCACATGGTAGCCACCGTCAGCCTCACAATGGTCTCGCGCAAATCTTTCTCGCCATTGGAATGCCTCATGCCTCGTTCCCGGGCAGCAGACTTCCTCTCACGCCGAACATCTTCCCACTAACCGTCGCGCCAAACCCATCAACCTGCCTAGCATACTGCTCAACCTGCCGTCCCACAAGCAACGCCTCCAACCGGCTCGGCTCCACAGGCAACTTGAACAGCTTCGTCCACTCATTCTCATCCAGCGCCGGCTGCCCAGCCGCCGTCCGCGCAGCATTCTCCGCTTTCCGCTTGACCTGCCATGCACTGACTTTAGTCTGCTCGCGCTGCGTAGCGCGCTGCCAGTACTGAAAGTTGTTCTGCTCGGTAGTGTGGGCTTCGATGCTGTCGAGGAGGAGATCGCAGGTTTTCTCGAGGAAAGGGTCGATGCTTAGGTCTAGGGCGTCGAAGTTTGGTGCTAAGGGTGTTGGGGTGAGGTCTGGGTTGTGGGTGAGGGATGCGAGGGATGTGGGAAAGGGGAGGGTGGCGTTGCTTGGTGGGGCGTTGGGGAGAGTGTGGAGGAGGGAGGTTAGGAGGTGGGAGTTGTGGACTTTCAGGGGGAGTTCGAGGAGGATGTCCTGGAAGCGTAGGTTGGACTTTTGGAGGCTGTGCGTGCTGTCAGTATTCGTTCATAATGAGATCAGACTGTATTGACAAGACATACCTCTCCGTGTTGAACTTGCCCTCCTTGTATGCAGCCATGAAGGACGGACTCAGCCTGTATGCCTTCATGTTCACTCCTCCAGCCGAACTCCTGGACACATCAAACACCAGCGCCAGTGACTTCTCATCTGCCGCCTTCTGGTAGAAGAACTGGTTCTCCACGAACCCAGCGCTGACAAAATTGCCCATACTCGCACTCATATACCACCCCACATTCTGCGCATCCACGTTCACCTCCCTCAACAACTTGACCATCTCGTTCTGATACGTGACGTTGCTCTTCGCTCGCGGTGCTGCGAGTGCTAATGTCGAGGGATCCGGTGTGTGGTATGAGTCTTGCTGTGCTGAAGGATCCGGAACTGCTGCTGGGAAGGGAAAGCTGTTGGTGATTTGCAATTGATTGCCGACGTCCATACCCACGAGACAGCCTGTTGCGGTGGTAGGGAAGGTGCTGCTGGCGTGTTTGATGATTCGCATTACGACGAGGGCTTCGATTTGCGCTTCTGTGGGCGTGCCTTGCGATGTTGCGTTCGCCATGCTGGGTGGTCGGGTGTCGGTGTTTTGTGGAGGGATCACTCTGCGTACGATGCGCTCTTCGTGGTCTGGAAGATTGGAGGGAGCGGGGGTGTGGTAGATGGTCGATTTTACTACTTCTACTCGACAAGTTTGTTCGATGTCCCACCCATCCACCCTAAGATTCTGAAGTGCGCTGCGGAATGAGTTCCGCCTCGGGACATCAGTATCGGGCGCGTTATTCGACTTCCAGTACCATCCTTCTTTTCATCACCTACCACACACATCCATCATCATGATCTTCGTATATCATCGACGCCGCCCCGCCAAGGCGACAAAGTGGACTGATCAATTTGATACTTGCCTGTCATACTCGTTGGGCGGACGACGTCGTCGCCCTTTGCTGCTGCTGCTTCAGCCAGTCGCCTGAGCCCACTTCCGACCTCACTTCATCAATCACAAGAGACGAAATCCATCAATTCGGCATCTCACCGTCGCTGAGGTCATCGACTGGCCCCGGTCGGTGAGCTTACGAGCGCACTGAGCGTCCACCGACGGCTCTGACCCGCTGCGCCGCTTCGTAGGCACACGAGTGGACTTCACGACTTGCCGGCGCAACCATTGAGAATCAGCTCTCCGCGTGTCGAGCGAGCTGGCACAGTCTTCGGCAAGTATAATGCGCTCGAATCACTGCAGCGATGGTGGCTCTCCACTGCGGGTTATGCTATACACGCTTCAGTGTACCTTCGGATAGCATATGCGTACCATAGTCTCGCTGCCGTGGCCTCAGCCCGGTGTCCAGCCAGAGGTGAGACGTAGAGAGCTTCATGAGACCGTAAGTCAAACGTTGCGCGCTAGACTCAGACCTGCTACGCGGGGAAGGGCTACTTTGATCACTTCTACTTCCTGTGTCTCAGCATGCCTCACCGACTGCGGTGTTCTTGGGTGATGATGGCAGCCGCCGCGTGACTTTGCAACAGCGTATGGCCTCTCCCCCCGATTCTTCTTTGTTCAAGTTTAGTACCTCGCGATTCTTTGCTGTCACCATGGGCTTCTATCCTCATACACTATCTTCTGACATTGCCGGGTCCGGCACTCACAAACGTGTTCTAGCCGCGACGCCATTGCAGGTGTTCCTTGGGCTCGCGGAATTATAAATCACTAAGCTATGAGGCATGTCGCACCACGAGCGTAGACATCGAACCGCTGGACACGTGTTTGCCGACACTCTGCAGCGCCACCTTCCCTCATATCGAGTGCTAACGCTGCTTGAGACGAGTGATCGCCGTGGAAGAACGAGTATCTGCTCACTTCGCTACAACACAGGCGCCGTCCTTAGTCGGGAGACCTCCGATCCAGCTCCAGACTCGACGCGGCCTCAATCTCGATAACGATCGCGTACCTTTGCCTTGCGGCACATGCTATGTGTTGTTATGACTCAGGCCCACTTCGGAGCGCTCATTCTGCGCGCAAGCTACCGCTGATCGCCAGGACCTTGCAAGATACTATCTCACCACTGACAGGATTCTGCTGACAACCCTGCATAAACACAGTGTACCAACGAGCATGGCCGCTCACTATGTACATATTTAGAGCAATGAAATACTCCCACATCGCACTCAGCAAAGACACTTTACATTCCCTTGATACCTCTTACAGACCAAAGCTTGCGCGCACTCGCAGTGCTTGATCGTCAATCCTTACAATGCCATAGGCTTCAACGTAGTTCAGATGAACCAGACAGAGATGTTGCTCACCTGCCGTTGCCTCTGCGGTAGCCAATCGTAGCGTCCCAGATGAATGACCTCCCGGCGCCTTGGCGGGCGCGCCCTCCCTTGTGACTTTCGATCTCCGCGATCTTCCTTCCCTCCATTCGACACCTAGCCCAATACTGCACCACACCCACCTGACCCTCACATATTATTTTGCCGCGTCTCTCGTTACAGATATGGCCTGTAAGTGATTGCTCACACTTTTCCAGTCATAGATCGATCGCCGCACCTCGCTGTCGGCGTCACGCGAGCTGTGCCTCGTCGCCTTACTCTGCCGAGCCTCGATCTGGATATGAGCATCCACCAGCGTCTGCTACTCGACTCTACACCTCCGGCACTGGCGAATCGAGTACAGTGACTGTGCATTCACGATATATCGGACGATAAGTGGTTCGGGATTGATCCTCGACACTGCCGGCGCTCATCACCGCCATCCCGTCTCTTGGCCGATTTCTCGGGCGGACATTGCCACATCCCGATCACCACTGGCATTTGACTCGAAACTACGAAGGACCTGGTCGCCGGTACTTGGAAACACTCTCTGCCAGATTTGACGTGATTTCATGCACAATGTCCTGAGCTACACTCGCTGACTTCTGTTCCTCCTCTCAGCGGGGTACATATTACCCTACGCCCCGGCCCACTCCCTCAACGACATGGCTACCATGAACGGACATGCCAACGGCCACAGTCAACCACTCTTTAGTCCCTCACCAGTCGGCGCTGGACCCGATAGCCCTCTCTCAGACGTCAACGATGCCGTCCCAGAAGTCCAGACTATCCACCCGCAAGACATAGCGGGATCAGACGAAGATGCCGCGCATGATATGGCTACCTCGGAGCTTGAAGACGATGACGAGGGGGATGAGCAGGATGCGGACTTTGACGAGGAGACGCCGCCTCCTGTGGGTACAAACGGGGTGCATCACGATGGGTCATCATCGGACGAGGACGTCAGACCGAACAAGCGTAAGGCGTTGGTGAACGATGATGACTTGATGAAGGAGAACCCAGAGCTTTATGGTCTGCGTCGAAGCGTATGTCCGTTCGCGTTGCACTTCGCGTCGCTATACTGACTGCGGTACTAGGGTCGAGCACGTCCGAGCCGTAGACTGGTATGTACATCTCTGGCATAGCACTGTCATGCACCCGACTGACCATGATCCAGGCGGATACTAGTGATGAGGACCATGATTCAGACGCCATTAACACTGGCAGCAGACGTAAACGTCAAAAGACCTCCGGCCACCCAGGTATGTCGTCGCCTGTCTTGACCTCATAGACGTGCTAAGTATCGTCGCTAACATTTGTAGCTTCGACACGCCTAAGCAATGTCACATCGGGACAAGATGATGACTCTGAGGCTGATGATGCCTACGGCGGCGCCAAAGGCCGCGCCTTCGCTAAGAAGCACAGGA